GTCGTTAGAAACTTCTGTGCCATTCCACTGCATGAGCTGAGTGCTCGTAACTGCAGGGTCATGTGGACACGAAGAAAGCTGAAGTCGTGTTTAAGGTCAGAGTCAGCGTTTTGAGAATGTTGGGACAGTTTTAAGTTCCGGTTATGAGACTCTGAATGTTCTTCTGAGGGTATATTTAAACTGTGGCCTCCAGTTTGTTTTTTTTCCTAACAGGACTGAACCGTGGTACTTCATGACTGAAGTATGTTGTGTACAATAATTACATTTTGTTTGTTTGTTGTTGGCTTGCTTGGTTTCCCATGAACTTCCATCAGCTTAACCCCTAAACCTTCCTTGAGTTAAAATAAATCTCCTCTTCCATCAGACGTTTACCAACTTCATCTTCTGCCAGCCAGGTTGCCCCGAAGCCACCATGCAGCTGTCACCTCACATCCCTCTCCACAGCATCCTGGGATGACTTTTGTCTCCCCCTGTGGAATTGGAGCCCCTGTTTCCCAGATACAGGATCTGTGCTTTCTGAGATTCCCCCCTTGTTTTGCTGGAGCACATTTCCCAGTAACATCCTGAGAAATGATACTGGGAGAGATAAAATGTTTAAAGATTTTTCTTGTTTATTAAAATTGATTCATTCTCCCCTCACAATTAACTGATAGTTTGGCTGAGGATAGGTTTCTCATTTAGCAATTTCCACTTGGAATTTTGAAGTCCTTGCCTGCAATGAAATGACTCTCCCTCCCGCAACGTTTGAGGGTGGTAACCTTGAGAATGCATGTGTCAGGTTTCTAGATGCAGGAAGTTCACTGACCAAGAGTTCCAGCTGCTGTATTCTGAAATCTGAAACCCATACCATGTTTGCTGGAGGCCTGGCTTCCCCTGGGCTGCTCCCAGCCGGTGACTGAGAACGGTTAAAGAAAAAACTAGTTGTGACACTTCCTGAAAATAGTAAGACAGACTTGATTAAGGAGGAGTGGGGGGGGGCGGTGGCAGTAAGTGTAGGGACCACTGCCATGGGGTCTTGAGGTGGAGGAGAGAGGTTGGATTCAACTCCAGATACATCACGGGCAAGAATTTATAGTCAAGGAGCAAGGTGAGGTCAGTGGATGGAAGATTACCAAGGGGAAGCATCAGGGCTAAGAGGGATTCTGGCTAAACCGGCTGACAGGATTCTTGGTGAAGCCGGGCCAGGGTGATAAGACACCACCTGGATGGGTAGGGGATGGATGGGTGGAGGATGAGGAAATGGATTAAATATGGAGGGTGATCAGATATCATAGGTGGGGAGGGTGTGGTTCTGGTTAAACTGACTCAGCAGAATCCTTGCTAAAGCTAGACAATGCAGAGATGAACACAGAAATCCAAAAGTCAGGCCGCTGACTCTGACCTTAAACACAACTTCAGCTTTCTTCACGTCCACATGACCCTGCAGGTATGAGCAAGTCAAAGAGCTCAGGGGGAGCCTGAGTAGAGTTTGGTCAAGGACAGAATCCTTGTCAGAGCCTAGAGGCACCAGGCAGCCCCATTCCTGGGGCTGAAGGCTCAGCTGAAGGCCAATTTGGGCTCCAGGAGGCCCAGGGGCCTTGCCGAGCGCCCCGAGCCTGCTCCACTGCCTCGGGCACGTGCACCCCGGCTTTCCCCTTCCCTTCCCCCCCGTCATGGTCTGACAACTCTCCCTGCTCAACCCAGGCCCCGTCATCGTCTTGTAGGTGTTTCCCCTAATACAGATTCTCGTGCGCTTCATCCCGTGTGGGTGTCTGCTTGTCAGAGGCCTCAGATTAGCACGAGAATGACTCTCCCACACGGCATGATGACTAATATTTGGATTTTTGCCACTCCGGGAGAAGAAAGTTAGTCTCAGATTTGTTTTTCACTCTTCTGGCTCCTGCTGAGTGAATCTAGAATCTCTTCATGCTAAGGAAGGCGATCTTGTCGGCCCTCCTTTTCCCCGGGTTCCACATCCGTGGATTCAGCCAACCGCGGATCCTGTACTGTGTTTATGGTCTGTGGTTGGTTGACTGCACGGGTGCAGCTCTCACAGATGTGGGGGCCGACTCTGGGACTGGAGCATCCGTGGAGCTGGGTATCTGCGGCAGGTCCAGAAACCAGTCTCCCGCAGGGACTGAAGAATGACTATATTTATTTTCTGTGATCTGTTTATATCTCTTGCCCATCTTTTTTTTCTGTCATTGGCCTTTTTAAAAAATTGATTTACAAGATTCTTTTTTTTTTAATTTGTGCTTGTCTTTTTTTATATATATTTTTATTGAATTATAGTCAGTTCACAATGTTGTGTCAATTTCTGGTGTGCAGCACAATGCTTCAGTCATACATGAACATACATATATTCATTTTTCATTTTCTCTTTAAATTGATTTATAAGAGTCTTTAAATATTAAGGTAGTTAGCCCTTTGTGTTGTAAAAATGTTCTCCACATTTTGTTTTTTCATTCTTTAGATGGCATTTTTTAATATGCTTATGTCTTAGTTAATATAAGACCTTTAACAAAGCAAAGAAAATACACACCATGGAGTGAAAGCAAAAATTAAAAAATATAAAAAGCAACAAAACCAGAAAGCAATCCAAGTGTGAAGGTATCACCAGGAATAAATCTGTCTCACGTATTAGTAGGTGTCCTGTGAACCGCCAAGAAGATAATCCTTAGATTAGATCACAGCACGCTAACCCCAAATTATGCTGTATATTAAAAAATGCATACAGACAAGAGCACTGAGCACTGAGGTCATGGGGCAAACCCCCGCCCTGCAAACTGGAGAGACAAACAGATTCCGAGACTCACAACTTTCCTGGAGCAGCAAGCTCAGCTGGACCCAGCATCGGGCAGGAACCCCTAACGGGTAATTGACTACTTGCTGGAGACTGAACTTGGACGAGCTGGAGAGATTCACTTCTGGAGGCCAAGCCTTAGAGGAGCCCCATGCTTCTCTGAGTTTTTCCTCCAGGAGCCCTACCAGGCTTTCAGAGTAAAGAGGAAAGAAACATCCCCTCCTGCTTCTGGCAGTGGGAATGGAAAAGTAGACATTTTGAAATATGCCCACATGTCCTGTTCTCCTTAACCACGGGCTGCCTTTAAGGGAAACTGTTTTACCAGAGTCAAACCCATGTAGATTTCACCAAAGACTAACCAACCTGGGGGAGGGAGATCCTCAACCCCGGGCACCTCTGACCTTCCTGCTTCACCTAAAGAGTGAAGTTAAAAATAAGACCAGTTGTGAAGCCCACAGCCCAGGGGCCCAGGCTCACTAAAGGACTGAGACCCAATCACAGGGCTATAGAATACTGCCTCACCCCCACATCTCACCACCACCTAAATAGGGCTCTTGTAACATAACAAGGGATTGCAGCTGAAAATAACTGAAACGCTCAAGCCCAGTGTGAAAGAGTCGACAGGGGTGCCCACGACAGAGGCAGAAGTGTTAGCTCTGACACCCACAGCAGCAGTAAACCCAGCCGCACTCCTAGCCAGATGAACATAGTTCTTGCGAAAGACCTGTGCGCCTCGGCTGCCTTTACAGAGTATGCTGCATCTGGCTTCCAACAACAAGTAACAAAGCATCTAAAAGTAAAACAAACAAACAAACAAGCAAAAAAACACCACACACAGCTTGAAGAGGCAGGGGGTGCATCAGAAACTGACTCTAATATGGCAGAGATTTTTGAATTAGCATCCCTGGAATTTAAAACAACTATGATTACTATGCTAAGGGCTGTAATAGAAAAAGTGGACAAAATACAAGGACAAATGGGTGATGTAAGCAGAGAGATAGAAACCCTAAGACATAATCAAAAGGAAACGGTAGGAATTACAAACCCTAGGACAGAAATGAAGAACTCCTGTGCTGTAGGCTAGACACAACCAAGGAAGGAATCCATGAGCTGGAGGAGATGTCAGTAAAACTTCCCAAATGGAAAGAAGAGGAAGAAAAAAAAAGGATTTAAAAAAACCCGGAAAAAAACCCCAGAATATCCAAGAACTGTAAGATGACTACAGCAGGTGTAACGTGTAACAGGAGGACCAGAAGGAAGAGAGAAAGGAACAGAAATATTGGAAGTGATATTGCTGAGAATTTTTCAGAATTATTGACAGAAACCAAACCAGCGATGCAGGAAGCTGAGGGAACACCAAGCAGGGCAAACACCCCAGAGTGTGCTCCTAAGTGCAGCGTACCCCAGCCAGACAAGACTGAAGACAAAGGGAAGATCTTGAAAGAAGTGGGCAGAGGGGAGGACTTTCCCCTTAAAGGAACAAGGGTGAGAATTATTTCGGGCTTTTCTTCAAAAACCACGCGAGCAGAATAGAGTGGGGTGAAGTATTTAGTGCCGAAAGCAGAGTGGCTGTACCCTTTTACGTTCGCGTCAGTGTGTGAGAGTTTCCGTTTATCTGCCACTCTGTTCACCAGTGCTTGGTGTGGCCGGTCTTTCTAATTCTGGACATTCTAACAGGTGTGCAGTGGCATCTGCCTGTGGTTTTAATTTGCGTTCCCTGATGACTGACGGTGCAGAGCCTCTTTCCATGTGTTTATTTGCTGGATGTGTATCTCATTTTG